TTTTTTCTTATTTTTGGTTGTCTTACTTTCTGCAATGTTTCTAAACTTTTTCTTTTATCTCTTCAAATATAATTTTGATTTCATATTTTTTGGAAGAGCTGTTTCATAGTGTTACTGTTTCATCTTGCTGTTTACACAAGTGAAAATTTTCAATTAAATGTATTTGTTATTTTGTTCTTTTCCTATATTATCTCTTCCCCATACCACACCAATGTCTTTGTTCTTGTTCATTATTCTATTTTATGTAGGATATTTTCTATAGTTGAGGGAACTTCAGGCCATTCACATTTCATTTAGGCATTGTGATCCTCCATTGTGTACCTGGGCTACACTTACCAGCTAAGGGTCCCCATTGGGCTGGTCAGGCATCAAACTGGTCATTCTGTTGAGGGATTTCCTGTAAGTTAGTATCTCAGGTCTTTCCTCTGAGATGGTTCAGAACTTAACAAACTTTTTTCCTGTTTTTTTGTGCTCTGTAAGCAGAACTTGAATATTTCCTGATGTCTTACCATTTCAATATTTAATATATTGATTTGTAGACATTTCTTCCCATCCTTACCTCAGTGGGTTTTGTTGTTGTATAATTATTTTTTAATTTTCAGAGTGCATTATAATTATATGTAATGCTTGAGTTCATTTTGACAAAATCGTACATGCAGGGAATTTGATTTACTTCTTTAGTGCTGGGACTCCACACCTTTTCCCTCCCCTTCTCCTTCCCCCTGTTCTCTTTACTCTACCTTATTGGTTTTCCTTTCCCTCATATATTTTTAGCTTGGTGCTTTATAGGTATATCTTAAGGTGGAATTCACTGTGATATGCTTATAAATGTACATGGCATGATTTTGTTAAATTAATTCTTCTATATTTCCTTCCCTTTTCTATTCTTCCTTCCTTTCAGTCTCCTCCTTCTACTCCACTGATCTTCCCTACACCTTTATGAATTTCTGTTCCCCCACTCTGCTTACCCTTATTTTGCTTTAGCTTCCACATAATGAGAGAGAACATTTGATTCTTGATTTTTCTGTGTCTGGCTTATCTCACTTAACACGATATTCTCCAGTTCCATATATTTACTGGAAAATGCAATAATTTCATCCTTCCTTATGAGTGAACTCCATCATGTATATATGCAATATTTTCTTTATCCTTTCATCTATGATGGCCTTCTGGGTTGATTCCATGATTTGGCTATTGTGAATTCTGCTGCTGTAAACGTTGATATGGCTGTATCACTACACAGTGCAGATTTCATTTCCTTTGTGTAAATACAAAGGAGTGGGGGTTATACTTCATTTCCAGTTTTCAAAGGAATTTCCACACTACTTTCCAGAAAGGTTGCACTAATTTGCAGTCATGTTTTATATAACTCTTACTTTTATTAAGTGTTCACAATATCAGAATCCATTGTTTACATTTCTTTTTAAGAATAATCATTCCTTTTCCTGACTTGAAGAAATGAGCTGGCTTTTTGTCATTTCCTGTACATGCTTTAAGTTGGTCCTTTTGTTTTTAGTTCTATACCTCTGGTAACCTCGAATCCGGTGAGGCCAACACTTTTTTTTTTCTTTTTGCTTTTTTCCCTGTTGCATTACCCACCAAAGGAGCTTTAGTTGTACTTTTTTGTGTGTGTTCTGAAAACAAAATTACTTCTCATCCCTCTCTTCTTCCAAAAATACTACTGTAATGATTTTCCATTAATAACTAGTTTTCTTTTTTCTTTCATTTACTTTTACTGTCTTTGCTATTTATAAAGTAGTTTAATCCATAAACATAGATTATAATTTTTTGTTTAATGTCAAATTGTTTATCTTAATAAATAACTTTGATTTATGTGAACATATTGCTTTCTTGAAATGACACCACCAATTGTAAATGGAAGTCTTTTCTTCAGCACCAAGTGCAAACTCAAAAAAAAAAAAAAAGTCCCAAATAGGACATAAATTTGCTATCTTATTAGTTTATATTCCCTTTCTTTATGACATATGTATATCCAGCTTATTGGGCATTTATAATTCTTTATAATTTGATTTTTTTTATGTCCTTTGAGATACTCTGACATTTTTATTATTGGTTTGCAAAATCTGTTAGTAGGCATATAAATCCTTTTGGCATGCTTTTTGTTATCAATTATTTACTTTTTGAGAAAAACAGCTTGCTTTCCTTCTACTTGATTTTGAATATGCTTATGTCTAGCTTCTGCTATTATTAATGTTCCTTTTTATTATTATTATTATTATTATTATTATTATTATTTTAAGGCTCTTTTTTATATTCCTTTCTACAGGCAAATTCTTGCAGCAGCCAAAAGAGCTGACCAAGTGGGACATTTTCTTTGGGTGGGATCAGACAGCTGGGGATCCAAAATAAATCCTCTACACCAGCATGAAGATATTGCAGAAGGAGCCATCACCATCCAGCCCAAGCGAGCCACAGTAGAAGGTAGGTGTTTTGTCAGCAGTAGGATATACTGAGAGAGTGGTTGGTGCTGTGTTCCACTGCCAAAGCATGTGTCTCTTTGAAGGTTTGGTGTTTGCACATAATTTATGCAGGCTGGTTTCCAACATGTTGCCATGAAATGCAAATGAATCCACACACCTGGTCTGTTCTTTGAGTTGACATTCCTCTTTTGTAGTGATCATATTGTTTTCATAATATTGCAATTAGCATATATTCTTTTTTATGAGAGGAGAGCTTTCTGAGAGGAGAGCATTAATATTAATAAGAAGTGAAATAATAATGCATCCAAGTGTGTATTAAGTTTGCTGCGTTTTCAGAGAAGACCGTTTTCCCTTTGTAATTTATCTATTACTTCCTTAGTGGCAAAACTACAGGAATCATTTTCCCCTTTTCCTTTCCAGGTCTCTTGCAGACCCAGGAAGCTCTGATGAGTAGGATGAGTAGCACACTACTCTTAGTAGACATCAATGTCACCTTGCTTTCCTAGATCTCTTATTTTCTCACTCTGTCCTTTTCTTGCTTTCCTAAATTTGTTCTCCTTCCTTTTAATCTATCTTCTTTGCTACTACAAAGACTTTTTGAGAGATACAAGTGTTAGGTAGTGGTAATGAGTAATGAAATGTGAACCGTTACATAGCAGGGACAAGAGTTTCTTTGAATTGCCTTTAATGAATAATCAAGTTGTAGAACAACAGGTGTACATACCCCCCTAGAATAAACAGGGAGAAACAAAGGTAGCTAATTAAGAAATATGTCAATTAAAAAAAGATCAATAAGGCTAACTTATAACAATCTACTGAAGGCATTGTAAAGTTAGGATTTATGGTCATAGGTTTCTCGGTGTATTTTAGAAGTGAAATTCCTTTAGTAGCACAGGCTTACTAAGATGAAGTCTGTCCCATCATTAACCCCAGCACTCACGAGAACACACGATTAAAAACTTGTAGATGAAGCCTCCATGAATAGATTGGTTGTCATGACAGTTCCAGTTAGGACCTAGTAGGGTCAAAAACTTCCCTCCAATATGAAGGAGGAGATTGGTAAAGACGGCAGAAGGTGGAACCCAGTTCTCCTGGGAAATATCAAAGCAACAAATTAGAAAATAGAATAGCTTTCTTTGTCATTTTCTGCTCAGAGACAACACAGTCTCTAGAGAGCTGTTTGCTTGAGCCTTAGTTTCACTTTTAATAAAATTATCTTGCTTGACTTTTTGCACTACACTGTAAATTTTCTTTCATTGGGACACAGAACTGAGGTGCTTCAGCTCAACAGTTTCTTGTGACACCAGCAGGAAAGGTGTTTACTGATATCCTTTTGATCTAAGGTAACATGCTGATTATAACTTGTTTTATTTAATTTTAAAAGGAAAGTTATTTCTAAAAGAAGATACTATGTCAAGAGAAAGGAACTCCTCTGCAAATGTCCTGCTTCGTATCTCTTTTCTGATGGTGCAGGTCCCCCAAAGACTTCTTAAAATATGCTTTGCACAATGCTTTGCACTCCTTCCTCTTGCTCAAAGGAAATCCAATATTTGCATTGTTTTCTATTCTTTCTCCACTCTAAGTATTTTCTCTAGAAGATTTCATGCTCTGTTTAGGCTTCTTCTTTTTTTTTTTTTTAAATCACTATTCCCTTTGTATGTTATCAGGAGATAAAGACCCCATGAGTCACCCATGTTTTCATTGGAAGGTTTTGAATCAATTCCATTCCCTAATACATGTCTAGATCAGATTGCCTATCTTACAATGCAGACCAATGCATTTATAGATAGATTGCAGGTATAAAAGATGAGGTTTTTAACCATCTCTTCTCCTTTTTACTCAAATACATTTTCATTATGTCCCTTGCTCTTGCTAGGAGGAAAAAAAACAAATGATGGAGACACCCTCAAAGCAGGTATAATTGAGGGAAAGTGTCAGAAAAGTCAAGGAGTCTTTGTCAGTGCAGGATGATGATAAGGGTGGAGAATACTCCTCTGAGAATGTAGTACATGAAGTAAAGACTGGGAGCTCCTCTTGCAGACAATAAGAAGAGGGTTTAAGTATGTGGGGACAGAGGATTGAAGGGGAAGACATAATAGGGGAGCTGCCAATCATTCATTCTTCACCATAGTCCTACATTGCAACCATCGTGAAATAATTACAGTTTTTAAAAATGTTGCTGATTATAAGACATTAGAAAGACCCCTCTCTACTGGATGACTAGTCATGATTATACTATCTGGCTGACTGATATCTCTATATTCATTGGGTCTTTGCTTAGATATTAGTTTTGCATGGAAACCATGTGTTAGTCAGACTTTTGTCATTATAATAAAATAACTGAGATAATCACCCCATAAAGAGAAAAATGATATTTTGGTTCACAATTTTAAAGGTTTCAATCTATGATGGATTGGCCCCAATGTTTTGGGCCTTGGACAAGGCAGTGCATCATAGCAGGAGCACAAGGAGAATAAAATACACTTTTTTTTTTTTTTTATGACCAGGAAGCCAAAAAGAGAGGAGGGGCCAGGGTCTCATAATCTTCTTCAAGAGCACACTCACAATGGCATAGACTTCTCATTAGGCCTCCCTCTTAAAGTTTGCTACACTGGGGAACAAGCCCTTAATACAGAGCCTTTGGGAGATACACATTGACAGCCATACTGTCAATGTGCATTGTAATGAAGATCCAAACCGTAACACTCTGAGGTCATCACACTCAATTCCAGTCTCAGCTGGTAGATCATTCTCCTGCCTTTCCAGCATTCCACATGTCGCCTATGATGGTATTACCTTATTACTTATCTCTCTCTGAAAATATGTCTGTGTACCATTGTATCACTAGCATTTAGTTCTTTGCCTAGATATTGCAATGCTCAAACCAAATTAGGTGTTTGTATATCTGGATGGATCAGGAATCACACATCACATAAGGGCCTGACACAAATTAGGGTTTATAAGTAGGCCAGAGTTGGATAGCTAAGGCTTCTGAAAATCACAATGAGTTTGTACTTGATTCTGAAAGTCTGTAGAGTATAACCTGAGTTGTATATGTGAGATGTGATGTGAGGGTTTTACAAGGCTCACTCAAAGGTCTCTATGGAGAGGTGAATGGTAAAGATCTGGCATGAATCAAGGCAAACCAACAAATTACAGGGTCTCAGCTGAGATCATCTTCATAAGCTCTAGACAACACATAATGATGCCCATATTCCATGGTTACCGCCCCAGGTGCATGTTATTTTAGAAAATTGCTAGTTATGTGAAAGGTTTCAGAAATACTTAAAAGAAAATACTATTTTCATGCATGTATGAGGATATGCAAGTTTACAAAATCAGACACAAAATAGCATCATGAACTGATAAGAGAAAGGAAGGGAAAAAAGAGCCCTAGACAATGAAATGGAGGAGAAATGTTGTCATTATTAAAAGTAATATTGAGATGCATGGAACAGTAACCATTTCATGCAAAACTTTCCTACTCGGAGAAAAATGAATATTGTCATGTGGATGCATAGAAAAGGCTATATAGCTTCTATCCAGCCATACTGTCAATGTGCATTGTAATGAAGAGAACCAAGCTTCTTTCAATTTCATAGCAGATAGAACATTAAGATTGAGGCAATGCCTTTATGGAATTACTCCTAATAAAGTGGAGAAAGAAATAACATTTCAGTTAAGCTGAGACTTCTGACCAAAGCTGTGTAACATCTAGAATTAAACTATAAATGGAGCATATTCTATAAGGGCAAGTAAGTTTTTCTACCCTTCCTTGTCCTCACCACCCCTATATATTTTCAGTTTTGTGAATGTGCTGTATTGGGTCATGCTGAATTGGCAAATCCTGCAGCATTCATAATACATCCTCTATCTTTGACTAAGTTAAACACTTCATTGAGAAAAGGTAAAAAGCTAATAATTCACATTATTACCCTTTAGATTCATATTTTGATCATGTTCATCCAACATCTGGATTTTTGGCTGGCATTTTTTATATGTGCATAAACATAACAAATTGTTTTTGGATGAATTGCAAGCAAGTACCCTGTTGCTGTGAAAGTAGCTTTATATCTCCTTTTATCTTCTGTGTTTATTTTCCATTTATAGAAAATGAAGAATCAGTGTTTTTTTTTTTTTTTTTTTTTAAGCCAGAGGTATTGTTTCTGCCCTTCGAAGTTTAATGATAACTGAAGCCAAGCTCTGGGATGGTCAGCTGTAGTCCCACTGGCTACCCCGTATTCATGGCGGATTTAGGGAATATCTCCAGAACTTGGCAGCCCTCCTCTAGCTCCTGAGCCAAAGCACTTGTGTAATTTTTAGTTTCTGCCTTTCCTGATGAGCCAAGGAATTCCTGGCATTTTCCTCACTTGTGTGTTGCCCATTAGCTAGAACACACAGTAATCCTCTTCAGACCTCTTGTCTTTGGAGCAAAACATCCCCACGTTACCTTAAACTCTTCACTGTCCAAAATGCTTTGCTTCTCTGAGAGTAGGCAGTCCTGGGTATCCTTTGCTTAGAGCCAGTAGAGGTCATGAACCAGCAATTTTTCATCAGTGCTGTGATCATTAACATTAGGGAAGCTAGTGTAATGAAGGGTGGATTCTCAGAGCTAACTCTAATGGCTCTCCCAATTGGTGGTGGTTTTCCAGTGGGCCTATAGAACAGTTTGCTTTCTGAATTAAATCTGCTATATGTGAAGCAAATAGACAAAAACAACAAAAAACCAAAACTCTACCCAGCATTAAAAAAAATCAGCTTTATAGAAGATGATTTCATGATTTTACTCACGATCCCAAGATCAAATGCTTTATTTTTCATAAAACCAGAAAGCTCAAAGCTGTGAAGATCTGAACTAAAATATTTCTGGCTCAATTTAGATATGCTGTACTGTATCCTTCCATAATTACCTAGAATATACCTCATGTGTCAGTTTTGTTAGGTGACTGGGAGAAAACACCAAGAAAAAAATAAATACTGCCTTGATCCATAATGCTGTTT